AAGAGCCTCTTGATGAAAGTGAAAGAGGAGAGTGAAAAAGTTGGCTTGAAACTCCACATTCAGACCCATGGCTGATTCACATCAATGTATGGCAAAAACCACTATAATATTGGAAAGTAAATAGCCTCCAATTAAAATAAGTAAATTAATTTAAAAAAAACTCAACATTCAGAAAACAAAGATAATAGCATCTGGTCCACCTACTCCACTCCTTTGGCCACCTGATGTAAAGAACTGACTCATTTGAAAAGACCCTGATCCTGGGAAAGATTGAAGGTGGGAGGAGAAAGGGACAACAGAGGATGAGATGGTTGGATGGCATCACTGACTCAATGGACATGAGTTTGAATAAACTCCAGGAGTTGTTGATGGACAGGGAGGCCTGGCATGCTGCAGTCCATGGGGTTGCAAAGAGTTGGACATGACTGAGCAACTGAACTGAAGTGAACTGATGCTGTGGACTGAACTGTGTCTCCATAAATTCATAGGTTTAAGCCCTAACTCCCAAGGTGACAGGATCAGGAGATGGAGGCTTTGGGAATAACTAAGTTTAGAGGAAGTCATGAGGATGGGGCCCTCATAATGAATTAGCGCCCTTCTAAGGTAAGACAGGAGACAGCTTGTCCTCTCCCTCCACCACATGGGTCCACAGCAAGAACTCGGCATCCAAAGTTGTGAGGAATTAACTCCTGCTGTCCAAGTCACCCAGTCTATGGTATTTTGTTATGGCATCCTGAGCAAAGATATAATATTCTCCACATTCCTAAAAATCTACTGAAAAACAACATAACCCAAGATTGTTTATTTAGACTCCAAATCTTTGACAATGCTTTAAGAAGAAATGTAGGACTACTACTGTCCATTCAAAACCTTATGTACAGTGAGTTAATGTATTGATTATTTATTGAAATAAATGGCAATGTCACAGAGCAAGAACGTAGGGCACCTGGACTGTACCTTAGCATTTTTCTAGGTGGTATGCAGTCTTGAGACAGATCCTTAATAGCTGGCATTGATCAGTATACTTTGATTTAAAAAGGATTGGTCTGATGTACCCCAGTGTTCATAGAAGCACTATTTACACAGCTAGGATATAGAAGAAACCTCAATGTCCAACAAACACGAATGGATAAAGAAGCTATGGCACATATATACAATGGAATATTACTTAGCAATAAAAAGGAATGCATTTGAGTCATTTCTAGTGAGGTGGATGAACCTAAAGCCTATTATACAGAATGAAGCAAGTCAGAAAGAGAAAAACAAATTTAGTATATTAACAGATACATATGCAATCTAGAAAGACAGTAATGATGAACATTTTTGCAGAGCAGGAACAGAGACTCAGACATAGAGAACAGACTTTAGACACAGTAGGGGGTGGAGAGGGTGGGGCAAATTGAGAGACCAGCATTGAAACATATTCATCAATATATGTAAAACAGAGAGCTAATGGGAAGTTGCTGTATAATACGGGTGATTGTCCCAAAACTCAACCTGGTGCTTTGTGACAACCTGAAGGGGTGGGATGGGGAGGGGGCTGGTGGGGGAGGTTCAAGCAGGAGGGGACATGTGTATACTAGTGGCTGATTCACGTTGTTGCATGGCAGAGGACAACAGAATATTGTAAAGCGATTATCCTCCAATTAAAACTAAATTTTTTTAAAAAAAGGATTGGTCCAAAATATTTTTGAGGTCCATTCAGTTCAAAGTTCAATAACTCCCTATGCACTTTAAAGGGAAGGAGGGAGTCGCACACTTACCGTTCTGCTCCCTCTGCACGCCGGCCGCCAGGAGATCGGGCTCCCCGAGGCTGATGTCATTGAGCCGGGTCCCCAGGCACTCCATGCAGAGGTGTTTGCACCACTCCTCAGCCTCCAGCTCTGAAAAGAAGCAGGCCATCAGAGTCAGGTGAGGCTGCCTGGGAAGGATGGAGAGGACTGCTTCCTGAACTGACTACCCAGGCAAGTGGTGAGCCTTAAAAATCCACCTTCAGAAAGCTAGAAAGCTATATTCAAGAAGTGAAGTAAAACAGCCTCCACAGTTGTTGCCCATGATTTGACATTATAGTATTGTATCCATTGTATCTTAAAGATATTTTAAGTTATCTGCATATAATTTATCTTATTTATAAAGAATAGACTGAGAAGATTTGCTTACTATCCAGTATACTTTAGATTGATTTAGTTTGGGAAGAGAACTTACTTAATTTAAATATTAAATATAAAAATTATGAAGTATATAATATTTAATTAAATATAAAATTATGTAAGTGGATAGCTGGAAAACGTCAAACTAGACTAAACGCGTGAATGTCTTTCTGAATGTAACACTGGTTTGTGCAGACCGAAGGTCTGACCTTTGAGCCATTCTGAACTGCAGTGGATCACAGATCAACAAAAGAACGTGACCACTTTTGTTTCTACAAACATCAGAAGTGGGCCATCCTTACTTTAAAAAATTAGGGATAGGATATTGAAAATAACTTTTCCCTTTAGGAAACTCCAATTGCCTAAAGATATTAATTAGATCACTCTCTTTTTACTGCCGTTACTCTGTAACTTCTCTGGATCTGTGTTTTTCCTTTGCTGAAAACACGAGAGTATCTCACACCTACACAGAATCTTGTAGTATCAAATGCTTCCACAAACATGGATGAATTTGAACCTGATATAAGACCTAGCTGGGCAAGATGTTTAAGGATTAGTGGCATACTTGGTCTCACATCCTAGCATGGGTCAGCATCAAGACAGAATTGGAAGCAAAGTGTTCTAACTATTTTTATACGCAGAGATCCAAAAGAGCATGAGGTTGGAAATTTGGGGCCAAGCTCCCAAATCGGTTCACAGAAATTGAATAAGAGCTTTCCATTGACATCTGCCCATAGAAGAGAACTCTGTGGGAGACTGCGGGTTCTTTTTACTTTCTAACAATACTCCATGGTCTACATAAAAGGGGGACGTTTGACTTTTTCATGTAGCATAAATCTGTACTAGAGCCATTTCTAACAACAACCAAAATCTTAAGCCAATTTCCACAATGTGTCTCTAGAAGTCCTTGACATTTCTGGGAAGGGAGACAACATGACTCCAGCTTTTTCTTTTTACATTTCAATGTTTTGAATGTTTCTCCAAACTACAATACTTTAAATCACCAGAGAAGTCGCATGCAGTTAACACCTCATCTGCATGACTACCTGCGAGTATTTCCAGGACCCCAAAGACAGAAAGAAGAGTATCCACTATGGTATTTGGGGTGAAAATAAAAGTGTTAAGTATGACAAAGCACCCTTGCGCCAACGTTCCCTTTAAACATTCGTGGTCTCATGAGTCTCATTATCAAGATTTCCTGGGACTTTGTTGAAACTGGAGATCTCTTAACCCAGTTTGTTTAGTCCTCAGTTGTGTCTGAATCTCTGTGACTCTCTGAGGGCTCTGGAGGAGAAGGGGATGGCAGAGAATGAGATGGTTGGATGGCATCACCGACTCGATGGACATGAGTCTGAGTAGGCTGCGAGAGTTGGTGATGGACAGGGAGGCCTGGCCTGCTGCAGTCCATGGGATTGCAAAGAGTTGGACACGACTGAGCAACTGAACTGAACTGAACTGAACTGAGGGCTGTGGCTGAGCCTGGAGGAGCCGGGGCTCCAGGACACGGGCTGAGCAGTGAACAGGGAACCTGTTGAGGGACTTGCAGTGCGAGCGGGAAAGGGAGGGTGTGTGTCTTTGTGTGAGTGTGTATCAGTGCATGTGAGTGTGCATATGAGTGTGTCAGTGTGTGAGGATTTGTGAGAGCGTGAGCGATGAGTGGGTCCATGTGTCTGTGTATCCGTATGTGAGTGTGTGAGGCATTTGTGTCAGAGTATGAGCAAGCATTGTGTGTCTGTGTGTCTGCACGGATGTGCTGGAGGAACCAGGCTGCATGGAGGGTGGCCAGGACTGAAATGGAGAGGCGGGTCCAGGAGCCACACTGCTGCCGTGACCAGCGTGGGTCAGCCCCGAGGTCACGGTCAAGTTTGAGAAGCAGCTGGCATTCTGTCCGTCCTCTTCTGGGTTGTGTTTGGTTCAGTTAGATCAGCCCCAAACATTCACATCATGTCAAAAGTATTCACCTTTGTAGTCTGCACACTTGATCTAACAGTCTTGTTGCAGACAAGTACATTTGTTTGAGAATTATACAAGGCTTTGCAGTTTAAAATCTGTTTTCGATGGTCACCTTTCAAATAATTATAGCTGTGCTTTTTATTTGTTCTTTCTTAGGCAAATGCTCTGTATTGAAGTCCTTTAATATCTTTTATTGCATGTTAATTTACTTTGTCCCATCATTATTTAACTAGCGATTTTCTCCCAGTTAACCTTAACTTTCACCTTTCTATTTTCACAGAACTGAGCAGATTAAATACAAAGGCAATAATCTCAACCCACTGCATTTTTCAATAATTATTTCCCTATAAAATTCAGTGCCTTTTGTCTTTGTTTTATCTTTCAAACATCTATCTTGCTCTACACATAGTGTGTAAATAATTAAATTTCTTTGTGGAGAAATAAAGGCAGAAAATATTCTAAAACATTTTCTGCATTTTCCTCTTCATGGTGGAAATGCTTTTTCATTTACATGTCTTTTTCGGGTAGCCTGCAGCTATGCTCAAATTCTTAATTCAGATAAATAACTTTTCTCTGGCACAGAAACCTAAATAACATTTTAATTATGTATAGGATTAGTTAAATAGAGAAATCTGGCAATTTCCAGAAAAGAAAAGCTGAAAGATGTTTATGAGTAACAAGACAAATAGTAGAGAAGAGAGACTAAACTGAGTGAATTATGAGACAAATGGGCTTATTGATTTTAGGGGAACTGACAATCAGCAGTCCTGCAAAGGAGAGATACAGTCACAGACGGCGGCCACTCCTGAGCATCTTCCCATCACTTCTGTTTAGAATTCTGGGGAAAGCACAGTTATATTCCTCTGCATAAGAGGACGTCTTTACACTAGACTCTTAATAAATACTTACTGAACAAATGATTAAATTTAAGCTTCATTACTTTCACTAAATTTAGGCCTTAGGATAATGACACGAGCATTAAATGATCCAAAAGGAGCTTTGAAAACAGTGAAACATTTTCTCCCACATATACAGAAAACAGGCTGTCAGCTAAAATCATATAGCAGAATTAAAAATAGCACCAATTCAGTTTCATGGTAATTTATTGTAAGATGCAGGCAAGACTAGCTTTATGTGGAAATAATAATTTAGTCCTCATTAGATTTGGCCTTTATTGAAAATCTTAGCAAAATGTAGGTAAAATAATACTGCTTTGTCTTCAGCAAAATCGGGAATTTTTAAGCATAATGTAATTTTTACCTGCTGGGCAGATTTGCTATAATTTGATGACAAATGTTGTTTTTGTGTTATTAAAGTCTTCTTAGATACATACTTTTCTGGAAAGTGAAGAAAAAAAAAGTCTCCTGATGTAGACTGTTGCTCAAAGACTACAAAGAACTCCCTTATTGTCATTTGAAATTTATAGAGCCATTAAAATATACATTTTTATGATACTTTTCACTCTTAAAAATTGGCACCTACTTATCACTTAACTGGCCTAGTGGATGCATTGTGGACTTTTCTGTTTCTCTTACTTTTTCTGTAGGAGGAAGGCAAGAAGCCAGTGACAACCGACCTGCTCACTTCAGCAAAGACGAGAAGGCTGGGCTCACAGCAACGACCCCGTCTGCTGAGGTCCGACGGCCAGGACTGATCCCTTTGGAGATGTGGAACTTCTCATTTTCTAAGAGCTCCTTCTTTGTTTAGTTCCTTCAGACCCAATTTTGGATTGCACATCTTTCTTCTACATCTCCATTTCATTCTGTGTTTACTGTTATCATAGCTTTTATGAGGTGGTATAGTGGTTTAGTCATGTCTGGCTCTGCGACCCCATGGACTCTAGCCTGCCAGGCTCCTCTGTCCATGGGACTTTCCAGGCAAGAATACTGGAGTGGGTTGCCATTCCTTACTCCAAGGGGAACTTCCTGACACAGGGATTGAACCTGGGTCGGTCTCCTGTATTGCAGGCAGTTTCCTGCATTGCAGGCAGGTTCTTTACCAACTGAGCCACATGGGAAGCCCCAGAGCCTTTATACCACTGAGCTATCTGTTTGTCCTTCCAACCAATGTATTCTGATACTGGAGTGAGACAGACACTGATATAGTCTAGAGTGGGTGCAGCATTTGGATATGCAAACTAATACATGACTGTGGAGGGACTTCCCCGGTAGTCCAGTGGTTGAGAATCTGCCTGCCAGTGCAAGGAAAATGGGTTCAAACCCTGGTCCTGAAACATTCCACATGTCGCGAAGCAGCTGGGCCTGTGCGCTGTAACTGCTGAGCCCACGCTCACTTAGAGCTGGCGCTCTGAGACTCGAGAAGCCAGCGCAACAGAAGTCCACGTGCTGTGACCAGAGAAAGCCTGCGCGCAGCAGTGAAGACGCAGCACAGCCAGAGTGAATAAATGGATGAGTAAATAAATAATTGAAAAAAGACTCAGCACAGCCAAAAACAAATAAATGAACGATTCAATAAATAATTTTTTTTTTTTTTCTAAAAAAGAACTTTTGTCTTAGTCACGTTCTCAAAAGGCCTAAAAGCAATTCCTTTCTACGCAGCAAACGTGAAGTACTTGGGAGCAGAAAGGAAAACATTTAAGAGGAGAGCTGCGTGTTGGAATATGGAAATGTTGCCAGTGCTGTGGTTAGCTGTGGAAGACTGACAGAAACCACACAGAGCTCTGAGACAGTTTCTCTTGGCGGAGTGCAATTTATTACAAAAAGCCTTGACAGCTGCTCAGAGTATGGAATGGTACTTGGTCAACAGCCCCAGTGAACCTG